TCAGTGGATTACGTGGATAAAGATGCTAAATTAGGAAAAGGCTACAAGGAAGAATTTATCAATAAGTAATGTTGTAAAGTGTTACTAAACTGAAAGGTTAATTAATAAGTAGAAATTTACACAATTTTTACATAAACTTTACACTTCCTCATGTGTTGTGTGCATGGTTCATTTGCTCTTATTTCCCTTATTTTGTTTTGTATTTGTTTTGAGGTTGACTGATTGTGTTAATTTCTGGGTAATGTTTTTTCTGTTTTTTAACTGTATAATTGCTAATGCAATGTTAACTCAAGTTGCAGTTGCAATATTTGTTACTTGTTACATTAAGATTTTTATAATTGGATACTGATTTAGGAAATGAAAGTGGAAAAGACAGATTTAATAACACTGAACTCGATCACTGTTGTAAGAGGAATTTGTGTAAATTGCTCAAATACATCATAAGATTTTTGTATATAAAGTTAAAATGAAAATCAAATACTTTGAAATTCATTACAAATACACAGTGACTCACATTTTAAATTAAACGAAATATGGCTTGGCGCAAAATTTGATTTCATTCTTGATCATAACCAATTACAAAATACTGTTCTAAACTTTTAATGTTCATATCTGAACTTAGAGTTTCCTATGTATGTATGAGTCATCATGCCTTCAATATTTTTCAGATTAACCAGTACATCAACAGTAATAGTGTAGACAACAAAAACAGGCATTATCAAGAGAATAGCTAATACAAGATATTAAAAAAAAACATTTTGTGTTTACAAAGAATAAGAATATACTATACAAATATTTATGATGAAAGCGATGGATTCTCAATTAGCCACTTTCATTTGTATAAAACCAACATGCTAATCTAAGCTTTGCACATGTATAGTGTTCAAAGTAAAGAAGATATTGATAGAGACATTTGGGTACAACTTAACTGAAATCATACAAAGATTCTTTATACACACCAATTGTTTCAATATATATATATTTTTAGGTAGAAGTTAGAGAGGGAAAAAGGACAAAATATATAAATATATGCATAACATATTTGTTTAATTTATAAATGTAATTGCATAATCTTTGAAAAATAAATAATGCATTTATGTACTGCATGATTATTGGAATTACAAACTGATTAAAAATGAATTTGCTTATAAAATGTATTTCTAGCATTTGAGAGAGTGCAAAAAAAGTCAGTAATAAATATTATAAAAGATAAAATTTAGCAAATTATAGAACTGAACTTTGTATATTCAAAAAGTAAGCCACAAATAACATTCAATTACTTTGGTACCCATTATTTTATGCATTACTAATATAACATCCTATTGTGTATCTCTGATATTATGTTAAAAAAATATATTCATTATCAATCCCCTTATAAAAAGACATAAAAAATCCAGTAATCACCCCAAATTTATAAAACCTACTTTATACTGATATTAAAACTTATCTTCTGCAGGCCATACATCCATCCTTTGAGCAATGGATGAACAGGAATTTGAAGAAATCCTGACCTACCTCTCTAAGAACAAATACCCTGAGAGCATAAAGTCGAAAGACAGTCGCAGCAACTGGCGTAAGAAATGCCGTCCATTCTTATGCTGCAAGGACGAGCTCTACTACAATCACAAGAAGTATGGAGCCTTGTTGGCAGTAAAAGGAGTCAAGGATAAGAATCGGGTCATTGAAAAGTGCCACATACAAGCTGATGGCAAGCACCATGGGATTAATAGAACGTGAGTGTGCTTGTTATATAGAAATAGTAATATTACTATTGTTAAATTTCAAAATTTCATGTTTTACAGATGCTATGACCAATAATAATGTGATAATTTATTAGTAATGATTGCAGAACTGTCTATGAAAGTTCTGTTTATTCTGAATGTAAAGTAAAAATTACATATACCAGTAATACAACAGTATATATAAAAACGTGTATGCAAGCACATGCATACACACATCAAAATTAGCTTCAAATCCTTGATATTAAATTTTATGATTTTTTACTCTTCTTCTTTGTAGGCTCAAGAAGATAAGCACAAATTACTATTGGAAGACAATAGCGAAAGATGTCCACAATTATGTTAAGATGGTGTGCCAGACCTGCATTGACCAAGCCATACAACAGACCAATGCAGCTAAAAACTCAAATACATCTCAGGAAGAATCTGAAGGAGGAATTCGGGTAAAATCCACACACAAAATAGTGGACAAAGCTATTGAACAAATTGGACTTGATGTCATTGGGAATATCTTGGAGCCAAGTGTTCCTTCTCCTCAAGAACCAGGATGTACTATGTTTAAGTGTGAAGGGGCTGTTCCCCAGCAATCGATGTCACAATCATTAGTGCTTCGAGACCACATAATGGCACAGTGTGGACTAGATGTTGTAGGACCCCTTAGTGAAACACATAAAGGAAAACGTTTCATAGTTGTGCTTACTGACTGTGTAACAAAGTGGGTGGAAGCAACTGCAATATCAGAATTCACAACTGAATCAGTTGGGAGTTTCTTAGTTGAGGCTATATGCCGACACGGGTCAATAGAAGAGATAATGACTAAACACAATCCTGATTTTTGTGCCAGGTTAAGTGAGAAGCTTTGTTCTATGATAGGCATCGCAATCAGAATGTCAACCATACTACCTTCTCAACCAAACGGGTATATAGAGCACTACTGGTATAATTCAGTTTTGTGCGGTGCCTTGATGAAATACAGTAATCAAAACCAGTATTATTGGGACACATCTTTAAATCAGGTGATTTTAGCTTATAGGACATTCCATCAAAAGGGCCTTTCAGGATCCCCTTTCCAACTATTGTATGATAGACCTCTTCGTCTTCCGGTGATGTGCATCTCTCAGCCTTCTGGTGATGCTTACTCTGATGAGCAGGAGGCCCTGACAGCCCACATCAACAACTACCTGAAGGCTCTATCTTGCTCTACTCAACAGCAACAACAGCCAGGAACACAACATCAGGATAGACTGACCCCGCCTTATGCACCATCAGGCAACATTGACTCTCCTTCGCCATCATCCACACCAATCAACACTTCTTCCCAACACCAATCCAGTCATGTATTAGGATCATTTGCTCAAACTGTTGTCACAAACAACCACATCAATTCGACACTTCCCATCACCACCTTTGGTTCAAACCTCCAACCTGCCTCCCATAACAATGTCTCTGTACATGCTATCCCTACCACAAGCATAACGCCCCAGACAATACCTGCAAACCTGAATGCTCATGCCATGTCAACAAACACTGTCACCCCCCAAACCATTCAGTCCAACAGCTCGCATAATCTCACAACCAACAGCCATATAATTACGACTCCCTCAGTCACCCCAGTAGCCAGCCAGGTTATTACTCCACACATTTCAGTCACTCAGCCAACGACCGTCCAAACCAATTCTAACATTACCACGAACACCAGTTCTGACAGTCATGCAGGACATATGGTCATGATACAGACTGACATGAAGACGTATGGAGATTCAATTTATCTAATCTGTTCTCAGTGATGATGCAGCACCTCAGGGACGAACAGGTTTCAGGTAGTATCAGACACATCATAAAACACATGCAAATGTAGACATAATTTCATAGTGTTGTATTTTTGATGATTTACATTTCTTAGAAACCTTTCATACTAACACCAAGAGCCAACAATTTTTTCTTTTCTAATGATTTTTAAATGTCTTAGTAGAATTTCTAATAAGTTTGAAATGAATACCTACCTCCTCAAAAATGAAAAGTACTATACAATCCCAAGCTTTTCAGTGGTCTTTAGCAGAAAGGTTTTAATTTCTTAGAAAATAACTTTTTAAAATTTAATTTAAAGGCCTACAAATGGTTCTGAGAAATAGCTTTACTATAAACTAAGGTCAGCAGCTTCTTATCTTCAAACTATCCAATAGCGGTAATGTATTTACCAAGCGTCACCAATAAAAATTATGCAAGATAGCATTGATTATCATTTTCTTCCTTAGGTAGTGAACTGATGGAGACAAGAGACAGAGCAAGAACAAAAGCACAGAAAAAAAAGAGAAAAAACAAACAAAATAGAGTGAGAGCAGTAAAAGACAGAAAACAGGCAGTAGCACATAAAGGATGGGAGGATAGCATGTTGTAACATAGGCTAAGATTATGAATAAGAGTAAAAAAAAAAAAAAGAAGTGGGTAGGAGAGGAATAAAAGGAGAAGAGAGGAAAGAAAAACTGAAGTCATAAATTCTTCCAACCATTCATTAAATCTTCCAATATCAATCTGCTGTCACTGGACAGGCAATAAATATGTCATATCCATTGTGGTTTTAGTTAATTTTGTTTACATACAGATGGCTCCACAAGAGCTTAGTCAGTATGGAGTCAATGGCCTACCTTTTTTGAAGATTTAAAAGAAATATTTATATTTTTCAAAAAACAATACTGCTGTCAGTATTGTTAGTAACATGATAATAATAATAATGTAAAAAATGGCAATAACTATAACACTAATTATATCAACCTGATGCCACTGGAGATGACATGTAGGTACAGTACATGCCATGCCTACTTTAAGTTTAGTTTATTAATTGTCTTTACACATAGATGGCTCTACAAATACTTTGTCACCAATGAGCCAATTATCAGGGGAGGTCATAAGGGCTACTAATTGCCTCCTTGGTGGTTGAACACATATAGTCATCTATGTGTAGAGACATTTCACAAAATAATGCTAAAGTAAACACAATATTTTACCAGTGGCATTGGTCCAGAAGAATTCATGGAATGCAGTAATCAGGTAAGCTCAGGTAGACCCATTAATTGCCTTGGTGCCTTAGTAATTTAGAGGCCCTCTAAAATCACAGTGGATATGGATATATATTTGTCCTCCTGGCATCACGGGTTTAAGAAGCCAACCAGAGACAGAGAAAGCAGGGCACAGTCCTACCCCAAAAGAATCACATAACAAAAACGAATGTGGAATCCACATTGCATCTGTTGTATTGCCTACCTGGAAAAGGGGTCCCACATCAACATCGAATCCTAAATCAGCAAATCCTGTTGCAATGACTTTGGCCCCACGGTCGTGTCCATCCTGACCCATCTTGGCAACGAGGATTCTGGGCCGACGACCTTCATTCTCAACAAATTCCTCAATCTGCCAGAGTGAAGAGAGAGAAGGAGGAATTTTGTTAAGAGCAGGATTTATTACTTGCTTTTTTTTCATTTATATATTGAGTTTTAAGTAGAGATCATGTTATCCATTTGAAGATATTTAAAGTACTGTTAAACTATTTATTTCATTTTATTAATAACTAAAGAAATATGAAAATTAACAAAAAAGAATGAACTATACAGGAATGAAAATAAAAAAGAAAAAATAAAGGATGCATTATTGAACGTGTTTGCGCTTCAATGAATACCTTTTCAGTTACTGCTGCCAACTCCTGCTGCTCTCCGTACTCCGTCTTGTAAGCCCCCGAGACCAGTCGGTCTGAGGCAATGTGACGACCAAACACCTGAGGAATAAAGGAAATAGAAAAAGGAAACAAAGCAACTTGAACTTCTATCAAAACTTATCTATAAATGTCTATAAATGTCTAAAATCAATAATAATTGCAACATAATCCAATTATAATTTCCTACCCAGCAAAGAGAGATTCTTAACTCTTTGTAAACAGATATGTCTACTGTCAACTGCATTTCTTTCTTGTGAATTTTGTTGTACAAGGATGGCTTAAAAAATTAGCTGGCCTTTCATGACCTCACCTTGTTTCCCAGATTCCTTGAAACTTATTTATTGTTATAATATTATACCTTTACTATTATTATCATTATTGACCTTATGATTATTATGATAATAAAATACTAAAAGCAATGGAGAGAGAAAAAAAAAACAAAAAAAAACAAGGAAATGGATAAACAGGTGAAATAGGTAGGGCTAATAATTGATTCCTTAGTGACTAATTTTTTGTAGAGCTAAATACATAACAAGACATATAAATAATTAAAATCACACTGGATATAGCATGTCTGTCATGCCATCCCAGTGTGAAAGGCTAACCCAGAACCCTGCTTTTTAATGCTCACCTTCTCCATGGCTTGGGATATTTCACCGAGGGTAGCCCTGACCCTTGCTGCTGCAACTGCTGCTTCCAGGAGGTTTTCACTGCCACGCGCAGCTTCCTCTAAGGCACTCAGAGCTGCTGCTGTTGCTTGTGGGTCACGCTTTTCTCTGAGCTGGTTAGAATTAGGGTTTTAGAGGTCAAAGAATAATCAATCAATAAATGAATCAATAACTGTTGTATTATCATAATACTATATGACAGGTACTGCATATAACTATATAAATTGAGTCACAAGATTTTATGGCTTTTTATTTACCTCTTTCAACTTGTTAATTTGCTTTGTGCGAACTTCATTGTTATCAATCATTAGGACATCGATTGCTTCTTCTTTCTCCAGACGATACTTATTGACTCCCACAATTACCTCTGTGGAGGGGGGAAAGGGTAGTTATTAGTATGCATACACATATTACTCTTAATTCTCTACTTAAATAATATGAAACTCCCACCACTAAAATAATTTCTACAAAAATCTAGGCTAAAATCAAGACACATTACAAACTTTGAATATACTCAAAAATCACTTTTATCATACCATACAGCATGCTTACTAATAAAAAATAGTTATCCACATGATAAAAATCAATATAAACCAAAATTCTACTGTCAGAAAGCATTTATCAATACAACTCTAAATTTCACACAAAATTATTAGGCCCATATTTGCACCATACAGCTATACCAAAATTTGTACCTATATATTTCTTACCTTGAAAACTGTATTTCTGGAATTAATTTTTTGGGGATGGCCCGATATTTAAAGTACGTAGTTTTCAGGATACAATAGTGATTACTTACCTAAATGGATATCCTAATCATTTTGATCATGCCACTCAACATACCTTTTCCACTGTCAATCATAGCCTGCCGCTTAGCAGCACATTCCTCGATCTTTAGTTTAGCCCAACCTTGAAATAAGAACAGAGAAAATTATTGTTGTGTTATATGTATATATATTTTCAACCAAAAATAATACACTACATACTTTGGAAAGAAAGTGAAGGAAAGGAATGGGAAGAAGAAGAGATGAGAATGAGAAGGAGAAATAGAGAAGAGGGAGGAGGGGGAGGGAGGTAGGGAGAGAGGGAGGAGGGAGGGGAGGTAGGAAGAGAAAGAGGGAGAGGGAGGGAGGTAGGAAGAGAAGAGGAAGAGGGAGGGAGGAGGGAGGGAGGGAGGGAGGGAGAGAAGAGGGAGGGGGAGGGAGGGGAGGGAGGGAGGGAGGGAGGGAGGGAGGAGGGAGGGAGGTAGGGAGAGAGAGGGAGGAGGAGGAGGGAGGGAGAGAGGAGAGGGAGAGAGAGAGAGAAGAGAGAGAGAGGGAGAGAGAGAGAGAGAGAGAGAGAGAGAGAGAGAGAGAGAGAGAGAGAGAGAGAGAGAGAGAAGAGAGAGAGGGAGAGAGAGAACAGATACACAATTTGCGCAACTGCAATGCAGCATGACGGCTGAAACCTCGTCAATAATTTCCTTAGCCGCATCATAAACCTCATTGGTAAGTGACTCCATAGCATATGATCCAGCCCATGGATCAATTACCTGTAAAAAGGAGTAATTTCTCTTGATGATATTACAAGAATTGTAAAGTACCATTAAAAAAAAAGAGAGAGAGAGAAAGAAAAAAAGAAAAAGAAAAGAAATTATATATATTTCTATATACATTAAATTCTACAGCCCTCTTATATACACATTTATAACTCCATTAAAGTATTACAAGAAAAAAATACACAAAATATACAAAAACATAAAATTTCCTTTCAGTCAAAAATTAAACACAAAGAAAGGCCTCAAAACAACCTACCTTTGGAATACCAGTTTCCTCCTGAAGGATGATTTGGGTGTTACGAGCAATGCGGGCAGAGAAGACTGTTGGCAGACCCAGAGCCTCATCAAAGGAGTTTGTGTGGAGAGATTGTGTGCCCCCGAAAACGGCTGCCATGGCCTCGATAGTTGTGCGGATGATGTTGTTGTAGGGGTCCTGTTATTGTGACAAGTAGAAAGAAAGAGAGTGGTAGAAATTTTATATGGAGTGAGCAAATAGGTTGACAGGTACATGTATGTTAAATGCAAATATATAAATGTACAACTGTATATGCATCAAATGAATAACTGTAAAGTGTGTATAAGTAGAGTAAATATGTAAATAAGAAGGTTAAATCAATGTAACTAATATTCTTTTATGGGTGCTAAATGGCGAGATACAGCTATGTAATAAAATGGATAGACCAGTGCCACAACCAAGGGTGGTACAGGGTGCATATATTCCCCTCATAATATTTGTGATTTGTAACGCTGTTATTCAAATACACACCAGTGAATATAGGACACTGATAAAAAATATAAGTTGGAAAATTATTCATGTAAGATACATGAGACAAATTACAAATGCTCTTCCTCTTTGGAAGTTATGCTTGCTTATTCAGGGGCCCCCTTTCTAAAATCCTCACTACATCCATGAAAGAGATTAAGAGTGAATAGAGTAACATAAATTATATATTTCTAGCAATCCTTGTTGTGATAACTTGAAATCAATAAACATATAGAAAACTTAAAAAAAACAGAAAAGTACATATGTAAAGTAAATGTTAACTAAGTAATACAAATGATATCTTTGCATGTTCATAATGCTTGTAAGGGTTGTGTCAGTGTTTCCTTTTGACAGAATTTCTTGAAAGAGGTAGGAGCCATTATCCTTAGAGGATGACCCTGTAAACCTTAGACTGCAGTAGGCTCGTAACCATTTCTATTGGAAACCTTAATGTTCCCCAGTTATACACTTTCATCAGTATAGCACAATGTACATTTGCATAAGTAACAAATACATGACAGATAAATACACGTAGAGTAAATAAATATATATGAATAGATATATGAGGATATCATATAGAAAATTAAAGAAAAGTTAAACATGGTAAATAAAAATATATATACATACATAAGCATTGTGATAAATGGAACAGTTTTTAAATTTGGATATGATTTTGTAATAACTAAGTAATCTTGTAAATATTCCATAAAGACATGAATATTATCAACAAACCATAAATACACAAATAAAACAAACATCATTACACATGCAACAAAACATCATATAAGAATAATGAGAGAGAAGCCATAACATGTACTTTCACAAAAAAAAAAAAAAAAAAAAAAAAAAAAAAAAAAAGAGAGAGAGAGAGAGAGAGATACCTGTTCAGTCAGGGACCACCCAGATGTTTGGCTGTGAGTTCTCAACATTGTGGACTTGTTGTTCTTCGGCGAAAAGTTTTTTTCAATAAGATGAGCCCAGAGACGACGAGCAGCTCTCATTTTCGCTATTTCCTGTGGTTAGTTCGTGTACTCATTAATTTTTTCTTCATTATACTGGCTACATGTACAACAAACAACAAATGGTAAAAAATCAGGAGCACTGTTGTGTTGAAGTTAAATATTTTTTGATTACAGATGGTGATCCTTTTTCTGTGTCATAATAACATTATAAAACAAAAACTTTATTTATCATTTATGAAACAAGGCATTTGTCCATTGTATTAAGTGAAGGGTAAAAACAAAACAAAACAAGACAAACTTGCCATGTAAAAGTTCATGCCAACACCCCAGAAGAATGAGAGTCGAGGGGCAAACTGATCAATGTTCAGTCCAGCAGAAAGTCCCGTTCGGCAGTATTCCAGACCGTCAGCAATTGTGAAAGCCATCTCCAGTACAGCATTTGCCCCTGCCTCTTGCATATGATAACCACTGATGCTGATGCTGTTGAACTTTGGCATATGCTGAAAAAGGAAGCAAAGTTTAAGCTGATACTCGCTATGCAAATGTGTTTGAAGTTCTTACAGTTCACTGTATAATCAAAAGCATATAAAGGGGAACCTGAGAAGAAATGCTTCTGCTTAGTTTTTTTTTTAATATTCTATTGGATATTTCTGATGATTAAAAAATGAACAATGGAAGTCTGAGAGAAGATATGGGAATGTGATTCCTTACTGAGGTGATTCTAGAAAGAAGAAAAAAAATAATATAACAAAAACTATGAAAAAAAAAAACATGCTAAAACTAATTCTGAGGGCAAGTAGACATATAAGTTCATATGCTTTTGCCTTACATTAGGAAATAAAGTCATGCTATGAATGACAGTCTAAAGTGATTGCTCTGAGCAGATTTCCAAACCTTGGCTGTATAACCAAAAATGTCTCCGATGATCCTCATTGATGACTCAGGTGGATAGATGTAAGTGTTGCGAACCATGAACTCCTTGAGGATGTCGTTCTGAATCGTACCTGACAGCTGTTCTTGTTTCACACCCTATGGGAGGAAAGTGTTCATCTGAGACTAGTATTAATATCATGTCAATATAACAAATGAATCCTTTTGTCTTTATGACCTAAAAATTAACTTTGTATAGTATTATCTCTATGAGAATATCATACTGTCAAACATTATAATTACATATATTATATATATATATATATATATATATATATATTATAATATATATATATATATATATATATATATATTATATTACATCTTCCTCCAAACAAAATATATATCCTAGAAGATGTCTCATTTACAGTGTCCAATTTCCCCTTACCTGTTCTTCCGCTGCCACAATAAACATAGCCATTGTTGGAATGACAGCACCGTTCATGGTCATTGAGACCGACATCTTGTCCAGTGGAATACCATCAAAGAGGACTTTCATGTCTTCTACCGAGTCAATAGCAACACCTGCCATGCCCACATCTCCATGGACTCTAGGGTTGTCTGAATCATATCTACGGATTGGAATAGGAAAAGAGTAATGAAAGAAATTAATCATGATGAACTTCTCCAATACAATCATTTGAATTAGAAACTTTTATTTATAGATATGGATTTCACTTTGCCTTTTAATGGTTTGCATTAGATGATGGCATTAAGAACTAAATATACATATTCTTTTCTTTTTCTTTTTTTTTGAGAAACATGAGGGAAAATAAGTTTGCTTGAACTAGGCTAATAATATCTTTAAGACTATCAAGGGATATAAAATAAAAAATGAAAATTGTGAAGATATAAAGAAACTTCAAATCACCATCTTTCACTTCACCTGATACTGCCAGGGATGGTATGTACGTACATGTCATGCCCCCTTTGAGTTTAGTTACACACAGATAGCTCCACAAGTACTTAGTTACCAATACTTCCTTCAATCTTATATTGCTGGTGATATTGTGTATCGGCCGGTTTAAAATTGTGCAAGGCTGATCTAATACACACTCATTATATGGCCATGCATATCTATCAGACAGATAGATAGATAAATGTATATCTATCAGACAGATAGATAGATAAATGTATATCTATCAGACAGATAGGAGAGAAAGAGAAAAAGAGAGAAAGAAAGAGAAAGAGAGAAAGGGATATATGTATATCTATCAGACAGATAGATAGAAATGTAGACAGATAGGAGAGAAAGAGAAAAGAGAGAAGAAAGAGAAAGGAGAGAAAGGGAGAAAGAAAGGGAGAAAGGGAGAAGAGACAAGAGACAAAGGAGAAAGGGAGAAAGGAAGAAAGAAAGAGAGAAAGGGAGAAAGAAAGAGAGCGAGAAAGAAAGAGTAAGAGAGAAGGAGAGATAGAGAGAAGGAGAGACAGAGAGAAGGAGAGAGAGAGAAGGAGAGATAGAGAGAAAGAAAGAGAAAGAGGAAGAGAAAGAGGAAGAGAAAGAGAGAAAGAGAGAAAGAGAGAGAGAGAGAGAGAGAGAGAGAGAGAGAAGAGAGAGAGAGAGAGAGAGAGAGAGAGAGAGAGAGAGAGAGAGAGAGAGAGAGAGAGAGAGAGAGAGAGAGAGAGAGAGAGAGAGAGAGAGAGAGAGAGAGAGAGAGAGAGAGAGAACGAGAGAGAGAAGAGAGAGAGAAAGAGAGAGAGAGAGAGAGAGAGAGAAAGAGAGAGAAAGAGAGAGAGAAAGAGAGAGAGAAGAGAGAGAGAGAAAGAGAGAGAGAAAGAGAGAGAGAAAGAGAGAGAGAAAGAGAGAGAGAAAGAGAGAGAAAGAGAGAGAGAGAGAGAGAAGAGAGAGAGAAAGAGAGAGAGAAAGAGAGAGAGGAGAGTAGTGTGTAAGTATGTGTGTGTGTGGTGTGTGACCTATTTACCCTCTATGCGTTGCAAGATCAAAGGCTACAGAGAGACCCTGCTGTCCAGCTTTGATGTTTTGCCGATAGAACTTGTTGCTCTCCTCGACTGTGCTGAAACCTGCATACTGCCTAATTGTCCAGGGTCTATTTGCATACATGGTTGGGTAGGGACCTCGAGTATAAGGGAACTTCCCTGGTAATTCTGTTGCTTGGCTGAAAAGCAAAAGAAATACTTGATTAATGATATAGTTATATCATATTCTCATTTCAAGTACAAGATACATTTGTTTTTCATGGCTAACTTTAATGTTTGGTTGCATTGTGTTAGAATCATCTAGGAGATCTGCAATGTAACAGTTATTGTAGGAATGAGATTTGGATTTCAAGTTTCAGATACATGATATACTTGTTGGAGATAAGAGGCATTTACAACTTGCTAAGTCAGTGATTCATATAACATTTATATTAGTATCAGTACAGTTTCAAACAACTTTAAATTATTTTTCTAATCCACAATACATAAATGAAATTAACAGTAATAACAGAAATTAACTAAATAAATAACAACCATATCCCTATGTAATATTCTTTCTTCAATATAATTGGAAATGGACTTTAGGTTGTGGAAATCCTTAATAGTTTGCATTTTCAGATTCAGAAATGGCAATTCCAAGAATAGAAGAGGGTAATCTTTACAGTATGGATGAACTAAGGTAGGGGAAATTAAAGATGATATTATTGTAAAGGACAAAAAAACGCAGTTGTTGGTACAAGACATAATATGCAGACACAAACGATAACACCAAAAATAAAGAAAAAAGAGCCCTCATTAACTGCCCATGCCCAGTCATGGCAATTTAGCTTGTTGTATAAAGATTGCAAAGAGGAGTTGGGGACTTAGTCTTTGGCGAGTGCATCTGTACTGTAAAAAATTAATATAAAATGAACTAGCTGCCTTAAAAATAATGACATTTAAGACAAAGAAACTAATACTCCTGAAACAAAAGTAACTTATAAAAACTTAAGTCATATCACAATCTATGGTGTAATTTTATTTCCATCTCAAAAACTATTCTAACCAAAAGTGTATGATTATCACTCTGCCTGAGATGAAAGTTAAACAACCATAGCTGCAATTTTAAACTTACTCTGCAACATCTTCAGCTGTGTAAAGAGGCTTGATAGTAATGCCTTCCGGTGTCTGCCACAGGAGTTTTTTAGCTGGGTCGGCTCCTTTCAGCTGTTTCTTGGCCAGGGCAGCCCACTCTGTATTGAGTCCTGCATCATGGTGACACAGACGTGATGACAAAGCTGTGCTAGCCAGGTACCCATTCTGCAAGTTTAAAATATTGGGAAATTATGGATGTAAAGCTTGAATTTGTATAATGAAAGCATGTCTACATCTCTCTCCCAAAGCAGTTGTAGGAATGAAACCTGCTGTCCCGTAATAAGGCATCACACTTCGCAAAACCTTGAGGAATTACAACATGCTCTGATGTAAATATAAATAAGTCATTTGAGACTCTGCAAAATTAATAAAAAGAAATCCTGCTCACCTATGTCTTATGCAGCCTCACTCTATATAAAGTAGCATGTTCATATTGTTGTTATTATAAAAATGTTGGTACTTTCTGGTTTGCTTAGAGTTTTTAAAGATTATTCCTTTAGTCCTTGGATGGGATCTATAAAGCATTCCATGAGGCCCATGACATTTCCAATTTCATCATCTGCAAGCATTTCTTTTTTTATGTCTTTACTGAAGATAAATTATTCCTAAGGCCTACATATGCCCCACTCACATAGGTTAGAAACAACTGAAAGTAGAGGTCCCATCCAAGCTCTATTTTACCGACACATATGTGGAAATCTGTTCACATCTGCTGAAGAATAGATCATAGAGACCTTAACATTGCTTGTTGCCATAATATTCTGGATAATTACCTCAGTCAATGCAAAAAAATCTTGTTGTATAATGCAGTGGTTGTTAGTACAAAGGATAAATCTCTTTTCTGTCTATTTTTATTACTACTAACATGAAAAATGTCGTAATATTAACTAATGCGACTAGGGCTGTTTTGTTCTCTGAACCAGTTTACTAGAATAAGTTTAAGTGTACATTATATAACACATCAATCAAAAAAATAACTTTGCCCTTCTAAACCAACGTCATATTACAAAAGAAAAACTATATAAACTCTCTTCAACCATTCAGCCTGACGTAAAAAGTAATACAAACAATCCTCATTCAATGACATACCCTAAAGAAGATGTTATTCGCACGTAAACTCAGCATGTTTTACGCCTTTCTTTCTTAACTCTAGCCGGACCGTCTTCAACCCTACTCGGATACAGCTGATCCCACAAGTCCTTCCCAGGCGAGCTCTTTCATTGGTCGAATTGTAGGTAGGTCTCCGCCAAATAGCCAATCAGGTGCGTTCTTTTAAGTTGTAAATAAATCCGCGAATTCAAGGATTTCGATGGATTCATTGGCATTGTTCAAGTAAGAACGATCGGGATACTTATTATAAAAAAATGTATATTGTTATCAAACTTCAGATTGTTATCATCAGTATTATCAGTATTCTTGTCATAAGCCTTATTTTTACAGGTATTACCTCCATAGGATTCAATCCATAATCTTTTAATTATTTTGCTAATAACTTATATCACTGAAATTTAAATATTAGATTTGCATGATAATTCAATGTGATTTATCCATATCTTATGAAAAACAGATAAAAATCATTTCCAAATAACCATGGCGATAGAGCAAAAGAGTGACAAAACT